AGGAGAAAGAGGAAGAGGAGGAGGAGGAGGACAGTACCTGGGTAGCAACAGCGACGGCTATCTGCATCTGGTTCATGTCGCTGTAAGGAAGCCTCTTCGCGTGAATCTCCCAGAGGATGATGCCGAAGCTGTAAACGTCCACCTTGCTGTCGTACCTCTCGCTCCTCAGCACCTGCCCGTCCTGATCACCGCTGTCCTCCCCCTCCTTCCTCCTTCTTTCCCTCCCAGACCTTCCCAGCTCTTACTCAAGCTTCTTCTCTCTCTCCTGCTCCATCTCCTTCCTCCTCAGTATCCTTCTCCATCTCTCCTCCCAAGTCACCATCAGTCATCCCTCCTACCCTGCGACCTCTACCTCTTTCCTCCTGCGCCTCCTATGCTTGTTCCTCTCCCAGCTCCTGCCTGCCTCCTGCCTGCCCCCTCTTTTCCTCCCTCACCTCTGGGGCCGTGTACTGGGAGGTCCCGATGCCTCCCGTCATCGTCCTCGTCGAGTCCTGAGGCAAAGATGAGAACAAGTCAGAGTGAATGAAAGGGAAGGCGCAGCTGGGAAAGAGCACAGGGGCAGCTGAGAGAGACCAGAGGAGCAGCTAAGGGGGAGCAGGAGGGTAGCTGGGGGGGTCACAGAAGAGGGGCAGGTGGAAAGGAGCAGGGAAATCATGGCAACCTGGACCCGAGCCAACCCGAAGTCTGCGACCTTGACCACAAGCTGGGGTCCAGCAGGAGACTGGACGGCAGCCATCAAGAGGTTGCCGGGCTTGAGGTCGCGGTGGATGACGCCCATGGAGTGAAGGTAAGTCATACCCTTGCAGACGCCTCCTCCTATCACGATGACCGCCTCCTGCAAGGCTGTGAGGAGAGGAGGAGAGGAGAGTGAGGAGGAAGGTGGTAGAGGAAGAGTGAAGATCCAGGTGGTAGAGGACGAGGAGCAGAGCAGAGAGGTGGCGGATGGGCGATGGAGAGGCGGGGGAAGCTGGAGAAGAAGGGGGAGGGAAGAGGGGAGGAAGAAAAAGCGGAAAGAGAAAGCGCAGGCTCACAGGGCGGAGGAGGGGCTTGGTATGGATAAGGTCGAAGAGAGATCCGCCGGGAACAAGCTCAGTGACGATGCAGACGTTCTCGTCGTCGTCGACAGCCCCGTAGAGGCGCAGGACATGCGGGTGATCAAGCATGGCGAGAACCTGCGGGGGCGTGAGAGAGAGGCGAAAGAGAGAAGGAGGAGGGAGGAGGGAGGGCGAGAGGCAGCCAGGGAGCAAGAGGAGTAAAATACGAAATAAGAGTATCAAATGTTTGATGAGGGCAAGAGAAAGAACGAGTGAGAGGAGGAAAAGATAGCAAGAAGGTAACAGGGATACCTCGCATTCTTTCCTGAAGTTGTCTAGAACTTGTTGTCTAGAGTGAGTGCTTGTGTTCCTGGCGTGAGAGTCAAAAACATCGAGGGCAGGAGGAAATTGTTGAAGCTCGGGGTAGAGGGAGAGAATGAGAATGAGAACAAAGGAGAAAGACGCGGAGGAACGCAAGGAGGAAGTGGTGGAGTGGGGAGACGTGGAGGACCAGGAAAAAGGAGTAAGAAAGTGGAAGGAGCAAGGACTGTGGTAACTCAAAGTAGAGAGGACGAATGAATAAGAGTAGAGATCGTACAAGAAAATCTTTTTCAGGGCTATCGAGGCGTTGTTGTTCGCTTTCCATACACCACGAAAGACCTGAAGATATCGTGATCAATACATTTCCATCGCAATCACAACCTTCATTATCATCATTCTCACCATCACTATCATCATCACCATCATCGTCACCATCATCATCACCACCACCACCATCACCACTACCACCACCACCACCACCACCACCACCACCAGATGAAACTTCTCATATCTTCTCCTTCCAGCGAGTGATCGCACCTGTCCGTACGCTCCCGTCGCGATTGGTTTCGGATCAAGATCGAACTCAGAGATGCGGAGGATCGGATATCTAAACACAAGTGAGGCACGAGAGAATGCGCGAAAACATGTCAGAACAGACTGCGACCACCAGCAGCCCAGCAAGGGGAGAAAGAGCAGCTCTAGAGCACAACATGACACTCACTTCGCTCTCCTCTTCTTCTCCTTCATCTGGTTGATCATGTTCGCATACTCGGCATCCTCCCCTCCCTGGGCAACTTGAGCATCGTCAAGTCAACTCTGCCGCGCTCACCTGCTTCTGAAATTTGCTGATCGCGTCGATGATCTCTTGATTCGGGACCCACATGCCGATCTTCTTTGGGAGGTCCTGATGGTAGAGGACAAGTTCATGATTGCAGTCGTAGAAGGGAGTGAGGGAGGAAGAGGTGAAGGATCAGCACAGCACATGACGACATTCCCACCTGTTGACATGAAGAACATCTTCCATCGCTGATTCTGATTAGATTCTCAAGGCATCCTTCACAAAATGTGCAGCTGCACAAAGTATCAGCCTCCTCCTCCACCCCCCCCCG